CCGCTGCAGGAAGGTTCCGTGGAGCCTCCGGGAGGGTTACAGGAAGGTTCCGAGGAGGGCTCGGGAAAGCTCGGCGCGGCCCAGCAAGCGCTCACGCCTCTGAGCAGCCGCGTCGCTGCCGCCGTCGACGGCGCTATGTCGCGCTATGGGCCACCGCTTGCCCTCTCTTCCGCCCTCTCCCCCGCCCTCTCCCCCGCCCTCTCTCCCGCTCTCTCGATGGCGGCAGTTGTTTCGAGCGGCATCGGATCGCCGCGGCCGCCCTCGCCACCCCCGCCGCCGTCGCCGCCGTCGCAGCAGCCCTCGCCCCCCTTGCCTCCCTCGCCTCCCTCGCCCGCCTCGCCCTCGTCGCGCCTCCTGCGCCCGCCACGTCTCTCGCTCAACGCGCCGCTTTCGCCATCGTCGCACTCACAGCTATCACTCTCGCCGCCGCCGCCAGTCTCGTCATCGCCGCCGCCAGCAGCGTCGCCGACGCCGCCATCGGCATCCAGCCTCGCCTCCACGCCCGCTGGCCGCCCCTCGCCAACGCCGCCGCTCGACCTGGTTCTCTCGCCGCCGCCAGACGCGTGCCCCTCGCCGCCGCCGCTGCGCTTGCCGCCCACACCCCAAGCACCGCAGTCGAGCCAGCTCGCGGCGCCGCCACGCAGCCGCAGCCTCAGCCGCCGCCGCTTCGCCGAGAGCGATCAGGAGGCGGCGGCGACCGCCTCAGACGCCTCCTCCCCTGCCGCGCCGGTCGCCGTTCGCTTGGCCGCATCGCTGCCGCCCTGGCGGAGGGAGCATTCGCAGCAGCAGGAGCAACCTAGATGCTGCAGACCCGCGTACTCGGATCGAGGACGAGCAGCGTATCGACCGGTACGAGCAGCCGCATTCCCTGGATGTTGCACGCCCGCGGTCCACCAAATGCCCTGCTCTGTTTTACCCACACGCCCTGAGCACCCTGCATCCCCTCGCTAGGAGCAGCTGAGGCCCCCTGGCCGAGCGCGCTGTGTCGTTGAGAACTGCGCGCGCCCTGGCGCTGCATGGCCATCCTGCGCGTGGGCGGCGTTCTTCACAGCTTGTCGGTGTGAACAGGCATCGCTCGCGCCAGCGAGCTCGAGGCGAACGGCGCGCACCGCCTCGCTGCAGAGGCGCTGTTCACAGCTTGCGGTCTCGTGTTGTGGTGAGAACCGAGTCTGATCACGACGCTGGCTGTGAACAGGTGCTCGCCATCGGCCTCGAGGTCTTCAAGGCGTCCGTCGACCGCAGGATCGCCGATGTCGTTCCGCCGTCTGCTGCGCTTGCGGCGGCTTGTGTCGCCGAATCACTGTAGAGGTGATGTCAAGAGTCAATCGAAAAGCGGCACATCGGGTGCACCTTTCTACTGTGTAGCCTCCGCCCCCCACCGCCGGCTGAGTCCACGCGGGTCAGGGTGCCGAGCTGTTGTAAAAACGCTCCGTAGAGAGCCACCAGACAGAGCCAGTGGCTGAGGCGCTGAGCCGTCAGTCCCAGGCCCCGGCGGGCCCCCAGGTCCCAACCCCAGAGACCGCCTAAGCACCTAAGCGGCCTAAGCGGGGGGGCGCTTAGGGTGCTTAGGTGCTTAGGTCGCCCTCGCGAGCGTAGCTACGTGCTGACATTATCATACGAGTGATCCATGGAGTGATCCTGAGTACCCTCATGGATATGCCTGCCTATCCATAGCCTATCGCTAAGTACGAGATTGCGGCCTCACAAAGCTCACGATCCGATCGAGCCCTCGAATATCACACGCACGCACGTGGGGAGCTGGGAACGGCTACTCCCCTCGGTCGGCGTCGGCGACAAGTAAGTACGCAAGCAAGGGGAGAATCGGACTGGACACCGGCGAAGATAAGTTTGGTCCAGAAGTCATCAACAATCGTGCTGATAACAGAAGTTGCCTCGCCCTAAGTTCAGGCATCGTTTGCACTGGGTCCCTGCTTGAGTAATCGCTGGCCAGGACTTGCTCGACGACTCACCCAGCTCCCCGTCGTCGTAGTCGTCGTCACACCGTTCTCGATAGCCTGATTCTTGAGCCGCTCACTGAGATCGTTGGCAGCCTTCTCGTAGCGAGCCGCCCATCGGCCGCTTCTGGGCGTCCTTGTATGGGGTCTGCACACAGACATTCGTGCCATTCTTGCCTTTCCCCTGCACCGTCGACCAGGAGCGCCCACTTGAAGTTGCGGGAGTCGATGTTGTACAAAGCATCCGTCTCACCCCATGAGTTGGAGGCTTGCATGCTCTCACCACAGCACTGTCATCAGCGTACTGGATGCAGACCGCGTGCAACCCGTGTCCACCCACGCTCGTGGTGATCACGCCAATCATGCACAAGCCGTTGGCCCACTTTTTCATTGTGTCGTGTGCTTTGTCGAAGCTGGTAATCTTGCCTCCATGCTCGACTTTGATCTGATAAGCCTCCTTCTTCTCAAGCGTCGGGACCCATGCTTCCTTTTTCCCCGACACGCCGTTCCATTCCTCACACATCGCAAGCGGATCATGGCCCTCCCAGCAGTCGCACAGCGTCTCGACCTTTGCGAAAAGATGCGCTTGCTCAATGTACAATGACGATGCCATACTTGCTACATTCCGTTGACGACGACCGTCGAGAACGCGTGTCCACAGCACGTGCCGAACTTCCCTAGCCTTGGTTGTTGTGGGGAGCCGCCATGCGAACTGCCATCTGGACTAGTGGGGGCGGATTTTTAGACCTTGTAGTTGGCCCGACCGTCGCGCGCTGCGTCAGCTTTCGGCACGGGCCCGATGCGCGCGCTTGCTTATGGTCCGACACATCTAAAGTGGAAGGGTGGGGTAGGGGAGAAGTTGTCTTGAGGGAAACATTGGACCGTCAGGCCCCGGGGACTGGCCAGCCCGACTGACACAACCTTCAGGAACACCATTTTGCGGTCCTGAGCGGCCGTCTCGGAGCAGAAGCTTCCCTGCCTCCTTAGCCATGTTGCGGTGCCCTCGTGCCATCTGGTCCACGCACTGCTCGCAAGTAAAGCGTCTTCACAGGTCGGCAGATACGCCTCACCTTCGAAAGGGTGGCTGCCTACCCCAAAGCCGAGCCCGGGGCATCGATTTCTCTTGACGATTTCACTTTAAAACGCTGGTGCAGATGGGGTTTTCTCTATAGAAGTCGGAGCCTTGCGTCCAAGGAGAGGCAGCGTGCGGCTCCGTGGACTCGGCCATCTCCCGCGGGTGAGAGGGCGAGAGGAAGCACTCCCGCCCTCTGAGGCGGCCGTCCGAGTCGGGGAGGCAAACACACAACCATCCTCGCGGGTGTGGGCGGCCTTATCGGCCCGCTATGCTAACCCAAAGTCGGCCCTTCCTCGCGGTCGGCTGCGGAGGCCCCTTAGCCCTAGCCGGAGCTAAGGGAGCCGACTTTTTCGGCGCTAACCCTAGGAGAAACCGCTCCGGAATAGGGTTACCGGCACCATCGGGCGGCGCCATGCGGATGGAGGGAGTCGGGTCTGCCATCGGCGGGCCGTCAGGGCGCTGAGAAGTCAAGGACGACTTTTTAGCTCCACTTTCGGCGTGCCGTATTTTATGCTTTTTCGAACGGCTGATCAGGGAGCGCACGAAAACGAACGAACGTTCGTGAAATCCGGTCGAACTTAGGGGAAAGAGAAAATCGGCGTGAAAAGTACGTTCGTTCGGCGTGCAGTTCAGCCAAGAGCCGCACCTGAACAGGGTAGGCTCCGCCCCACTGTGATTCGGACTGAGCGACGGCAGGACCCTTTGAAATCATGAATGGCGGCGTCCAGTGAGGCCCACACGGCCGGGGGTGGTAAGTGGGTGATAGGAGGGCCATAAACGACCATCACACCGGCCACCGGACCCCTCCACCCCCCCAAACACAGTCCAAACCGGCCCCGGCGGCCGGCGGGACGCACGCCGGCGCAGCACCATCAAGCTGCTGTACGGCCCCGGCATCGCCTCCCCAGAATTAGCTCTCAGTCAAGATATTGTGCACATGGGTGGTCTCTACAATATACTCACTGACACTGAACCTCCCAGAGCTCGTCCCGGTCCGTCACGGCCATCCTCGTCCTCCGCGGCGCCGGCTCCGGCCCCTCCGCCGCACTGTGATGAGCGTCGGCAGGACCCTTTGAAATCATAAATGGCGGCGTCTGGAGAGGCCCCCACGGCCGGGGGCGGTAAGTGGGTGATAGGAGGGTGATAAACGACCATCACACCGGCCACCGGACCACTCCACCCCCCCCAACACAGTCCAAACCGGCCCCGGCGGCCGCCGTGCAGGAGGCCGCCGGGGCGCACCAAACGGCCCTTCACGGCCGCCATACGGGCCACCACGGCCCGTCCCGGTGGCACGGGTGCCGCCGCGCACCCGCCCGACGCCCCCGGCCCGCCAGCTCCCGCTCTGGGGGGCTTCACCTCCGCCAGCGGGCCGAGCGTGCCGCCTTCTCGCCGCGCTGCGGCCGCACGCCCGAGAAGTGGCCGAAGGGCGACCTACGCGGCACTAAAATCACGACTAGAAGCGCCGCCCGCCAGCAGGCAGCTTGCCCGCCGCGCGCCGCGCGCCGCCGCAGCCCCCGGCCGGCGCTGGAAGGGCTATGCCGGCCGGTAGCCGCCGTCGCGCCGCCCGGCGGCCGCGTGGGCCGCAGCGGTTGGGGAGGCGGCGCCAGGACGCTCCGAGCGGAGCTATGAAGAGCCTGGGGCGCGGGGTGGGGGGCCGGGAGGGTGACGTGGGCGATGGTGGTGGCGTGGGTGCGCGGGGCCGGCGTGTGGGGGCGCGGGGAGGTCGGTGGTGGTGTGTGGTAGTTGGGGCTAG